ACTGTTTAATAGGTTCGCTTGTTGATTACCATCTCATCCTTATTTGATGTCTCAAAAATTGCCTTGTTGTATTAATTAATTAATAACGCATTCCCATATTGTCCTTGCAGTCTTTTGTTAAGACGGGAGTGTTGTTCATTTAGCAATGGGGAATACGTGAAAGCAGGATTGGCTGAATTGGAGCACTGGTGTTACAATGCAACAGATGAATATGCGGGTTCTTCTTGGGATGAGCTGAAGCATATCAGACAGGCCATCGGGTTTCTGGTAACTTTTCATGATTTGCTTGTAAACCTCAGAGTCAGTCTCTGTAAGGGTTATCAAAATGCAGTAATTTATTGTTGTAACAAAATGCAGGTCATACACCAAAAACCTAAAAAAACCTTGGACGAGATAAGTCATGAGCTGTGTCCGGTAAGTGAATGAATTGTTTGATCTTTAGAAAGTAAGTAAGTGTGGAGTAGTTTAAAATATGAGTTGATATTGCAGGTGCTCAGCATTCAACAACTATACCGAATTAGTACAATGTATTGGGACGACAAGTACGGAACTCACAGTGTATCGCCAGACGTAAGTTTGGAATCTGCTTTGATTTAAATAATGATAAGGAAAGATACCAATCTTTGGTGTATTTATATATGATAGGTGATAGCAAATATGAGGGTACTAATGACAGAAGATTCAAACAATGCTGTTAGCAACTCTTTTCTATTGGATGACGATTCTAGGTGAGTCCTCACTCATGTATTCAACTCTTTCTCATCTCTAACAGAAGATTCAAACAATGCTGTTAGCAACTCTTTTGTTTAAAGTAGGGATTTTGTATTTGTTTGTTGGCAGCATTCCTTTCTCGGTTGATGATCTGTCGAAATCGATGGAGCGGATAGAGATTGGAGATGTAGAACCACCGCCTCTCATCCGAGAGAATTCTGGTTTTAGCTTTCTATTGCCATGTTCTGACTAATAAAAGATAAATTGGTTCAATAAGTTTACACCACCACTGTGTAGTTGTGATAATCCTTCTCTTTTGAATAGAGGTGTCAATAAGTTAAACTTTGATTATATATTAAGAATTCAAACTTTTTGAAGCAGGTCTTGGACTACAAGTCTTGTCAGAAATTATGCCGTTCCACTTTTGTTTTGCAACATATTTTTCGGATCATCATATGCATTGATATGAATAGCAAAGCAAATGTGCTGCAAAACAACAAGCAAATCTCCTATATAAGTCTATACAAAGAAAGATAAAGTCTACGTCACTACCAAAATAAGTTTATCACAAATATAAGTCAAACATCTATCAAGCATAGCTGTCTTTACTACGAAAATAAATCTTCCACAAACAAATTAAATACACCAAGTATAATTTTGTCAATACGTAAATTAAATACACGAAGTATAATTTTATCGTTACTCGATCGGTTTTGTGCTTATATGTGGTCGTGTCCACACTCAAATAATTTGTTTAAACGTCAATGGCCTCTCCTTGTAAGCCATGATGAATTATATGACTTTTGATCTCTTCTCTTTTAGCTGATATGATCTTCTCGAACAATTGATCAAAAACTTCTCGAGACCTTTTCGCATCCTCTTCTCTATGATAATGAGATTTTGCTCTCTCTCTAACAAGTATCAATCCCTAATACACATGCCATTGTAGTATATTAGGTTATCAATCCAATCTCAGTGTGACTGCAAGCATTCAAGATATGAAACAGAAAGCGAATAAGTCAAGCCAATTATGAAAGGGTTTTGTGTGTTTCTATTGATCCTAAGCAACCAATTTAACATGCAAATACCGAATTTAAAAGCTTGCAAAAGAGAACTAAACAGCAAGTAAACAAGAACAAGAAGTAAACTAAAGACCAGAAACTATCATGCATAAGCTTTGGAAAAGAAACTAGCAACCTAACAATGCAGAGAAACGATCTAGGCCTAACAGGTCGAGCTAAGCAACAGAGACTAACAGAAACGAGATTTAAACAATCAATAGAGATAAAGGGTCCTGAGGAATGGGGTAATCGATTATGGCAGTCTCCTTAGTCTACCTAGGTGGTTAACAAACTCAATCAAGCTATCCCTAGACAATAGATTCGAATACAAATCAATCCACTCTCGTGACAGAGATTCTCAAGCTAAATTACTTTCATACTCAATTCTCATTGAAGAAATATAACCTAGCAGGCATTATGATTCAATCTAATAAAGTCAATAAGCATTCTAAACATCCAATCTCTTGGGCTAGAGTATGCAAATCTCTGGAATAGTTGGTTCAGACATTTCATCAAACACCTTTTGGGTGTGGAAATATCTGAGATCAACTTCCAATTGATCAGAGAGGAAATAGCATTAAGATCTACTAAACCAGAAGGGAAATCAAGCAATTCTACACTTAACCACCTAAATATACTAAGGATTCCACACCTAATCTAACCCATCCTCAAGAACCCTAATCCACTACTCAAGAACACTGAAGAACATCATGCATAAAAACCCAGAAAACGTTTCAAACCCAGAAATCATTGAAAAGCAAGTATGTTATAGATAAGAGACAGATCTACAACTTTGATGAAGAAAAGAAATGCAAAACCTCAAAGGATCAACAGGAAAAACGATTACAAAAACTAGGGTTTATGAGAGAACAAAGAAATATATGCTGGGTAAAAGGAAATATCCGCTGGACAATAGCATGTACCCCTATTTATAGGAAATACTAGGTTGCCCTAATTGGCTACAGGACAAAATAGAGAGTCGGTGGAGGCCAACTCGACGTGTCGTCGAGCCTGACACGTCGAGACCATGTGATTCTCAAAGGTGGCGCCTTGATGTCCATCTCGACGTGTCGTCGAGCCTGCGTGGTCGAGTCTGCTCCCAGGCGGCTTCCTGGCGTCCTACTCGACGTGACGTCGAGTCTGCTTGGTCGAGTCTGCTCCCAGGCGGCTTCCTGGCGTCCTACTCGACGTGACGTCGAGCCTGCTTGGTCGAGTCTGCTCCCTGGTGATCTTGAACGACTTCATTCCTCTCCAACTCGATCCCAAGTCTAGCTCCAAGGTCGTGTTGGTTCCTCCTTGCTTCATTAAGTCCCAAATAAGCTCCAAAGTACCTGAAACTCATCCAATATGCAACATGCTATGCCATGCAATGCAAATCGTACTAAGTGATGAAAATCTTATGAAAAAGGACTATTAATGCAATGAAACAGAGAGGAAACTAAGCTAAATGCATAAGAAATGTGTGCTAAAAAGAGGTAAAATACAGAGATATCAACTCCCCCAAACTTAGCTCTTGCTTGCCCTCAAGCAAACAGATAGAACCAAGCTGGAGAAGAGGTTTGAAGGTGGAGACTCAGAACCAAAACATGCATAAAGAGTAAGTGAATTCAATGTCCAGGTTGCTAATTCTAGAATGCAAGGTTGACTGATCTCTACTTAAAAACATTAGTCATCTCTTTCACATCTCAACCTAACCTCTGCCTTAATCAAATCAAGCATTCAAATCTGCACATTCCCTTTAACATTTATTAAGTAGGAACCGTGAATCATACTATGCAATGGATATGAACACATTTGGCTAAAGGGTAAAGGTTTTAGAGACAAAGATGGTCCCTTAAAGATCTGGTTTAAATCGCAACAGGGGATCTCTCAAGAATGATTGAGCTTTAGTAGAATGCTAAAGGTGAGTATCAAGTTATGCATACAAGGATAAGACCCCATCTACCTAGAATGTAATCAATATCAACCCAAATAGAGGTCCTATTTCTAATCCCAGAATCATGAACTTAACTCTACCCTTTTGCATTCAAAGCATTTACAGACTTTACACAAATCATCCCTTTTCTTTTCTTTGCTTTCTATCCTAGGAGAAGCTTTCTTACCGCTCTGTCTAGCGGATCAGGTTTCTTTAACAACTAGGGTTCCCTTTTCTTTCTTCTTATAAACACAAGACTTTTGCCCAAACTCTTTAAGCTATTTACAGAACCCTTTTTCCTTTACTTTATAGCACACCCAAATCCTTTACTAGACTTCTCTTACTTTAGCTACTTCTCCTTAGGACTCTTTTCCCTTTTCTTTTCTTTCAATGATGAACACAACCTTTTCTTTCTTTTAAACACAACCCAAACCCAGAATTAAGCACCCACCTAGTCCTATCTGGTCCAGATAACGTGAACCAGAACTACATGAGATACTATCCTTGTCGTTACAGACCTAACACTTTCTACCAAGCTCAATCGGAATAAGGCCTCACATTCACACACAAATGATAAATGGCTTGAAAGAAGGTTAAGGCTAAGGGTGGGGAATAACTGCTCCAAAGATGGGAGTCAGCTACTTGGACTAGCAAGAGTGATCAAAAGGTAAAAGAAAGTCCAAGTATTTTAAGGTATCCATGAGTTCACAGCACAATGCACAGCATGATAATTATAAGTCAAAATTCAAGTTCAAATAGATAGGGAATGGCATCAGATCAAAGCGAGATTCGACTAAAAACAAGAAAGTCAAGCGTTGAATTCAAAAGATGGTGCGGTCTTACTTCAAGTTCAGTCGATTATGCATTAGAGAACTAACAACCAGGGCACTGAGTTCTACTTAGTGAATAAGCATATTTACAAGGTTATAATCATCATAATCTCCAATGCAAATGCATGATGCAGCAGTCCTAAATGAAAGCATACTAAAACAGTCTTAAAATGGCAATGCGAACTATATGAACACTCTGTTTTTGTGAAATCATTTTCGAAAAATTTCAAATTTTTATGGTTTTTCTATGCCTTAGATGCAATGATGCAAAATTTGAAATAAGAAAACAAAACACAATGTCAAATACTTCTTGGACTCTCCCCCAAACTTAAATTACACAGTCCCTTGTGTAATAAAAATTCAGAAGAGAGCTCAAGAGAAACAAACAGCTAAACAGAAAAACACACTAATGCAATGAAATAATACAATGGTTTAGGGATGAGTGATACTTTGGGTTTAGGCGAAGTAGTGGTCGAGGAACTCATCCATGCTCTCCTGCGTGTAAGAAGGAGCTGTGCTTGACTCTGGAGGTTCCTGCTCGTTGTCAAAGCCCGTCTGCGTCTGAGAAGGATTAGTTGGCTCTGGAGCAGGCTCGACGTGCAGACTTGACGTGTCATCGAGCTCCATGGTCGAGTCTGCCTCTAGGCTTGGCCGCCGAACCTTCCGCTTATTGCGATGCCTTTGCGAATGTCTAGGGAGTTGTGCAGACTCCTCTTGGCTTTCCCTCTGGCGTGGTTCAAAGGATGAATATATGGGAGGATCAGCCTTTACCGGGTGTCTTGGAGCCATGCTTGTGGAACCGCTTCTTCTCAAAGTACCTCTCTCTTCTGATGATGGTGGCGAATGCTTGGACTTCTTTTGCAGCTCCGTGATCTGAATCGCCATCTTCTTCACCATTGTGGTTAAGGAATCTACCTTCTTTGATAATCCACGCATTGCCTTCCCTTGAAACTTTCCCAAACCTTGCAGGAGTCCTATGCGCTTGTGAGCTTCTCTCTCGCTCTTGGTCTGCCTAGGGGCTTTGTATTCTTCGAAAAAGAACCGCTCTGGTGCATAATCATCAGGAGCGTCTTGGGTGTGTTCCTGGTCGTCCTCGTGCATTGCTTGAGGCGGTGGAGAGGCAGGGGCGACTTGTGAATCATAGAGAATGAAGGATGGTGGCCCAAAGTCGATGTTCTCACCAGCCCTAACCGTGGTGTGATTCGTGCATGGTAGAAGCAGCCTAGAATTCCCTTCTTTAGGGTGGTTGAACACATAGAGCAGCACGCCTTCAGGAGCTGTTTTATCAAGGTAGCCCTTCTTCCTTAGGTATGCCATATCGATCCAATTTGGGGAAGCGTCTCCTGTTCCCACGTCTATACCCGCAGCTACCAGAATCGGTGTCAGAATTCCGCCAATGGTCAAGCTTCCCTTGCGCCCTGACCTGTGCATTGTTGCAGCATAATCCTTGTATCCCAATAAATGATCCAAGAACACAGCGATTAGAGGGGCGTTTCCTCTATCTCCCACCATTTCTGCTCCATCTCTAGTGTTTCTTAAGGTGAATAGGAGAGCTAAGTCCAGAAGCTGCAGCT